CCCCCCCTAAACCACGCCACCTCCCCAGACTCAGCCTTTACTATTGCCACTAGTGGCTATAACCATGGAGACTCGAGGGAGGGCCCAGCCTCATCCTCTTCATCTTCCCACATGAAGGGAGAGAAGGCTGAGGAGGCGCTTGCCCTGGAATGTCTCACCCCACTCCTGACAACCTTGAAGTTCCATTCCAGAATCTTCCCTGCTCATGCCGTCCATGACAGGCACAATCTAGCAAAACAAGAAACTTTCCCATAGAAAAGGCAAACTTTGTTACTCCAAATGGAGTTTCATAGAAAAATAAACTTCTAACAAATAAATCTTTTCATAATAAGTAACTTTTAAGTCTCTTTTAAATTCCAATTTTCCTCCCGCTTTTTACAAATTAATCAAATTCAAATTAAAGCTCTATTTCTTCTTTGAAAACTATAGTCCCAAAAATAAGGATAAGCCCCAGGAGAATTACTTATCTGTTGCAAAGGAAGGTCTCTCTTAAATTAAAGAATAGTTATGATCCACAGTGTTTAGAAATGAGGTTTGGTCGGCTCTAGTGTCCATAAAAGGCTGCACTGCAGCTTTGAACAAAGATGGATCCTCCACCTCCCAGCCACTTGGCTCGAAAGCCGTTCACTGAAGCTGCCATCTCTGTGATTAGTATTTGAGGAACAACCATCCAGAGACCATATGGGTCAATTTCCTCACTTCCTCAATCCTGAACAAGTTGGGTGGCCAGCGCTTGCTGCCAGCCACCGTTCCAGCTGCAGTGCCGTCTCCCCTTTCACGGAGAGATGACTAAACCGCCATTGTCCCCACCGGAAGTCTAGAGAAGCTCTAATTCCTTACACCATCTAAAACACCAGGCTTTGTATTCTAGGTTTTTTAAATTGGTGAACCTAGAATTGATGGTACGCAGATGCTTTGGCCATTAAAGTGACAAAATTAGCTACTGAAACTTTGGACTAATTTAAGCACATAAGAAGAGTCTTCTTTTTCTATTTAGATATTCTTAACTTTCATCCAAACCTAATTTAGAGCTGATCTGAGAGTTTGGTGTGATGATTAAGACATCAGGGTAAAAACTGGGCCACAGTGAGTCCTAGTCCTGCTTTAGGCATGAAGCCAGCTGGGTGACCTTGGGTAAGTCACTCTCTCAGCTCTAGAAAGAAGAAGGCAAGGGCAAACTACTTCTGAAAACATTGCCAAGAAAACTGCGTGGCAGTTGCCAGGAGTCAAGTCACTTGAAAGCACCAAAACTAAACCAAACCAAAGCAGAAAAACCTCCTGATAGTTTTGAACCGCTTGTCTCAAACCTTTCCTAACTTGTGCTCCAACACAGCCTCACTAACCAGTGTTACTATATTCAGTCCAAGATCTCCTGTTGCGGCTGGAAAGGAAATTTAGCAATAGTTTTATCTCTTGTCTTTCTCTCACTTTCAATTCTATTTATCTACAACCATTAGTATATCTTCTTTTTACTATTTCACTTGTGATTTTAAACATTCTACTACTAAACAGTTAAGTGCCTGCCTAAATACATTCATGGCATTTATGAGACTTTTCTCACTTTTTTTCTTGGCTATTTTTTTTTAAAAACAATTATTAATAACTGAACTGTGGACCTCATACCCTAAGTATTATGAACAGCAGTAACAATAAGTATGTATTGCTCAAAATATTGCCATATGGCATTTCAAGCTGATTACTGTAATTTGGCCTACTGTTAAATAAAAATCTAAATGAGACTGAGACAGGCTGCATTCCTCACAATATCAGCTTGTTTTGACATCACCTCTCCTTTGTAATGGCACTAATGTTATTATAGGGACAAGCAAACATTAGGTATCTAAACTCAATACTGACATGTTAAAAATAGGAGTGATGTAGTGCTGGCATACTGACAAAAATACGTCTTTCTATACAGTCTTTGCTAGCCGACCACAATAGGGACCAGAATTTAGATTATTGCCGAATGCTAAGCAATTTGGTCATTAAGTGAATTGGAGCTGATTTTATGACATTTTTCATGACTGTTGTTAAGTGAAATACTGCAGTCGTTAAGCGAGCCGCATGGTCATTAAGTAAATCACATGGTCATTAAGCAAATCCAGGTTCCCCAATGGACTCTTTTTGCTGGAATTTGCTTTAATGATGTGGTGATTCGCTTAATGACCATCATAAAAAAGTTGCAAATTGCAATCATGTGACTGCGAGGATTGTAAAGCACTTTTCCTAAGGCCATCGTAACTCCGGAACATTGTTACATGAATGGTTGTTAAACAAGGACTACCTGTATAATGTTATATAGAACAGGCTAGAAAGCAGGAGTGAGTTCTAGTCCCACCTTAGGTATGAAGGGCAGCTGGGTGACTTTGGGCCAGTCACTCTCTCTCAGCCCAACTCATCTTACAGGGTTGTTGTTGTGGGGAAAA